CGGCTTTTGAATTTCAAAATCGATGAAAAGTAACTATTCGAGATGAGCGGTCACGATCAAAGCCATCTGACGGTTCGCGAAGGGGCGCGTTGATGTCACGCGGCTAAGTAACCGCCTCCCACATTGAAACGACGTGACGTGCCGCGTGGACGAATCAAGCTGCGACGCGTGTAAAGGTCTCTGAAACGGCACGACTTTTCAAGGCCGACAAGAATTACAACGGCCATGTCACATTAATTGATGCGTCGCTTCAGCTCGCCTCATTAATACACCAAAGATAAAGAAAATCCAACTCTCAAGGGGGTGGAAAAGCCGAGGTGAAACCTGGCAAACTCAGAGTTACGCATCGCTATGACGACCTCAGAAGAGATGCCGGAAGACGTCTCATCCGAGCTCGGGGGCCTGTATGTTGATATCCGAGTTAGCCAGGAGTGAACCGGGAAGACATCGATTACCAAGACCCGGGCTTAGAACCCGGTCTGGAGCAGAAGTGCCGAGCTGAACCGATAAATTAAGTTCCCAGGATTTCCAAAGGAGCGTTTTCCGAGGCCGGCACCCCGACTCAGTGCATGTACGCGTCGACCTGGATGGGTGCCGGGCTGAAAGAGGGATCCGAGATGTCCTATAAGCACATTCAAGAAAAGTGTCGACCTGAAGATCCGGAGCGGCCATCCCAAAGGCAAGGACGAGGCTCGATGAACATTAAAATATCCCTACTTAGAAGGTCATCATTGGACGATGGGACAGGCTATCATAGCCTGTCACTCTACAAACAAGCCTAGTCAAGAAAGCCTGCCAGCATTAAATGCCCCCCATGCTTGCATTAAATGCCTGACAGGCAATAATTGAAGATACCTCAAATCTTATTAAATAGATGTCAGGACGACGCCGATCTGCTCTGCAAAACTACTGTGCGACAAGACCGGTGAACAGTAGCTGAACAGTACCTCATTTAAGGCCACTATAAATAGCAGCTCATTCATTTATTTTAGGTTGTTGAATCTCAGCTAACTCTGCCTTCTCTCTACTTTCTCTCTCCAAAACTGTAAGAAACATCCTGTAAGGATTATAAGTATAAGTGCCGACCTCGTACGAGAGGCCGACCTCGTGATCGTTTAATAAAATCGTAATTAAGCCATATCTTCTCTTTGTTTCCAGTCTAGCACTTTTACTATCTACTATTTTAACCGTTGACCGAAAACGCTCGTCAACATAGCCCAAACCAAAAACACAAGTCCTACAAGACACAAATGTATAAATTATTCAAATAAAAAAATTAAGTAGTTGAGTGATATATTAAACTATAAATAATTGACTATTTATTTACCTCTAAGTTAATATTGACCCGTAAGTTATTGAGTAATTTATTAAACTATAAATAATTGACTATTTCGTTGACGTCTAAGTTAATATTGAACCGCAAATTATGAATAATAATTTTTTATTTTTTATTTTTAAATAAAATATATGTTTTTTTTCAATATATTAAATACCAAATGTAAACCATACATATAGATTCAAGTTTTTTCAATATATTATATTCCAAATTAAAATCGTGCAACTAATAAAGGTAATAGTCGTAATATTCGACCAAAATTATTATATATATTATTAATTAAATTAATTTAGGCGGGATGTTTCAAATTTTGGCCAAAAATATTACTCATATAGTAAATACTTTATGCGGGAAATCAAATATTTTTTTTTTGCTGATTTTTAGTTGCTATTTCCAATAAATATCATTGCCTCTTTATATATTAATAGATTATATAGAAAAGCATATGTAAAGTTTAAATATTTTACGTAAAAATATTACATTCATCAAGTTAAATATTGCAAAGTTAATCCCGATTACATAACATAATTTGGTATGTGTAAAATTAATTTGCCTCAAATCGATTGAGTTCGGCTAGAATTTTTTAATCTAATTATTTAGCATGTGATATTGGAACTTTTTATATGTGATATATTTTATTTTATAAGTGTATTCGATAGTACTAATATGTTTTTTTAAATGTGTGCAGATGTCCTTTTTTTTAAAGAAAACGGGTTTGCAACATATATTAAAGATAAAACGATTTTATAAAATAACCAAAAGAAAATCAGATAAATATAGTTATGTGATATTGAATCTCTTTCAAATTTGAATGTTTGATCTATTTAGTCATGTTTGTTACCATTGATTAAACAGCCGTAATTAACAAAAAAACTTGAGAAACATGTGATAGCCCGTAAATTAACAAAGCGTTAACAGATTTTTTGTTGCATTAAAAAATGATTTTTTTGGCTGTCAAATTTGGGATAAGATGTATATTAAATTTTTCAAAGCTGTAACAATATTAAGATTTTTCATAACGAGTAAATAGTTTTTTTTGCACAAAATATAGAATTAAGATTCTTGAAAACGTGTGAACAAATTTTGCACGAGATATGGAATGATATTGAATTTTTTAAAATGAACAAAATTTTAGATTTTTTAAACAAACAGAATTTCAAAGTTTTTAAACAATTTCCATTAGTAAGTCAAATGGGTTGACTCAGTTTTTTATGAACTTTCTACAATTGATTTATTGACCATCCTCTATCAATATATATAGATATTAATATTTATATAATTATAAAAATTGAATTAACCTACTTTTTTTTTGCAAAATTCTGCATAATAATTGTACGATTAATAAATAACTAACAAACTAATAATCAATTCATAAATTTCACCAGTATTTTTACAAAAATTTGATAAAAATAATATTTTTTAAATGTATTTTTAAGATTATATATGTCTAAAACAGTTATTAATACACCTCTATATATTTGATTATATTTTATTTGTGAATTCAATGTCTCTCGTATATTTATTTTTCAAGCATTTTAAATTAAAAATACTTAATGATTTAGAATATTAATTTACGTAGAAATTTATATGTTCTAACTTAATGAAATATAAAATTATTTTATTATTTTTAATTATGATATGTTTATATTTATTATTTAAGCAACATAATAACATTCACTTCTTTATATAATCTATTTATTGAAATAATATTTCTGTAAATATATTTTATGTAATATTTAATTTCTACATTTCATTTAAATTTTATGAAAAAAACACATTAAAGTGATTTTGGATGGCTGGTCGAGAGGAGGTTTTTCTTGTGTTTTGGTTTTAGATAAGACGATAGGCTCAGAGGACTTGTTAGTGGTTTTAGTAGGGGGAGAGAAGAATATGAAAAAACAAAAAAGAGAATAATATCAAAAAGGGGAATTTCAACGAAAAGAAAAAGGGGGAGAGAAGAAGGTTTTCAAAGCTAGGGTTTTCTGGGAGAAGGCGATTCCGAAAAATCAAAAGGGGAGAAAACAGGAAGTTCAAAAAAATTGCAGAGGGAAAAGCAAAATTTACAGCAATCAACAAACAAATCACAATATTCAGAACACAAATTCAGGGCAAAACGCGCAAATCTAGAGAATTCAACAAATAAATCCGAGATACCCAACACGAAAAATTCAAAGAGCATGCAAATTTGAAACACATGAAATGTAAATTCAGGCAAGGGACAACTTACTCTTAGTCGCAGATGAAGAAATCGAGAAAGCCGAAAGAGTATAAGAGAAATCGCCGAGAAGGAAAGCAAGGGTTGCAAGAAATGCTCAGAGCACAAAGAGTTCAAAAATTGCAAAGGTGGAAAAACTCAGAAAATTTGCTAAGTGTTGAATTTATACCTAGGTGATTCAGAGAGTTGAAAGATAAGAACCATTGGATTAAAGCCAGATCGCACGGTGGAGGGTATTAACTTGCACGGAGCTCAAAGTGGACACGTTATGCGAGGGGGTGCAATAATTAAAGCGACTGACAGGTATGACGCGTGGCAGAAAAGCAGGCGCGACAAAAAGGACATGTGACATATGACTTTATTTATGGCAGCTAAAGAGGAATTAATTGAAAAAGTGAGCGAGAAACTCATCAGATGGTCGATATCAGACATTAGGCTATTTAGGAGAGCGACGAGCAAAAATTCACTCTTAGATTGAGTCATCCAGACTCGACCAGAGTGGGGGGGGACTATATGATATA